CAAGCAGGCGCCCCACCTCATTAAGATGTCAGCGTGGCAGGTATCAATGTAACTCTCGCGTATCGCGTTTATATGTATAAATATATATATATTTTTCATAACGCTAAGCAGCCAGACGGATATGAGAGACAGAAGAGACAAACTGATGATGGCTTGATAAATTGCTTATCAAGGAAGAGACTCATCTGAATGCTAAATATATGAAAGGTAGTGAAAGTGATTAATGAGATACAGATCAACAGCTGTGAATTACTTCACCAGGGCAATGATAGCAGCTGCTGCAATCGATTCACCGCCGAAAAGCAATTGCAATCGATCAAAATGGTATTAAAACGGCATCATCATGGATGAGTATGTGTAGATATTCAAACTGAACAGATAATACCCGTGTTTGTTCGCGGGGGGGAAGTGAACAAAGATGAACGGCAGGTCTCGTGTGTTCTTTTAATGCTGCAGTGAACACGAGCTGCTCAAGTGTTCATGATTAAGTGCTTTCGTATTGAACCAAGACATTTATTTTTCTATATGGAGCCCGGGTTTATTTGCATCCTCTTTGAGCCAGGTTCAGATTGTAAGGTCTTTGTATCGAGCTAAAGAAAGAGCTCATTACTCGGGCGCCGTTCGAGCAGCGTGGCACAGGGAGGCTGTGCAAACGGAAGACTTAATTGCAAATACTATTACATTCTAAACATATGCTCCGGAAAACAATACAGCATTTTCTACTGTCAGGTTTCTAATGCCATATAAGTGTAGGGACTCATAAATATCATCTGTTACGGAGCGAGCGCTGGGGTAACTTGAGAGTCAGAATTTCGTTCTTGATCATTACAGATGATCTATGAAAGGAATGTGTGCTACAGAGATTCCTTTTTCTTTTCTTTTCTTTCTTTTCTAAGGGATGATTTTATTAAGAAGTTTAATGGAGCATTCGCATCACCGGAGTAGCCATGGAGAAATGTCCTATTTTTCGATGACGAGACTTCTCACGTGCGACAGACGACTCTGCAAGGTTGAGACAGGGCCATGTGTTTACTTTAGCGGGGTTGAAAGAAGGCACCTGCCGCTAAGAATGAGGTCTAACGAGACAGGAGTTTGACGCGCAGGCTGAGTTATAGCAGGTGTGTGCGGTGGTCCATAGAGGAGGTGCGGCGCCCCTATACTTCTTATATTGATCGCCTATATATCCCCGTACAGTCAAACTCTCTTTCTTACGCGACACCCATACATCATCCTTCACATCTGATAAGTTCCGTCACGTGCCAGATGTGGACGATGAGATCTGAATATAGCTGTGGCTCTCTGGGATTTCGACTCAAAAGTCTAAAATATCCCTCCGAAGAAGGTGCATCGGTCCTGCTTATTTAGTTGTTGGAAGAAAAGCGCGTGTTTTTTTCTAACCGGCATTCGAGTTTTATATTGAGGAGTGATATATTCCAATCCATATAAATGAGCATTGATGGCTTCACCGTCCCTCCCTCTTTGATAACTAGCGTACCGGAATACACTATTTTATACCAGACGTCTCAGCCATTGCTTTGATCACCCTGGCCACCGACGCAAGGGTCTGTTTGCAATAAAGCCTTGACAAAGGGTATATTTTTGCATTTTTCTTTGACTCGGAAGACTTTTGCGCCGTGGCAGACAGTAGTCGAAGTGTAGAGGAACCTGCTGCTATTATTGGGATATATATCTCGCTGGGACTTAGGTGTTCAGAAATTTAACTTCATTTTCGGGACTTTCAACTCGTAACAAATAAGATGAAGAGCCAAGACGAATGGAAGCAAGTAGGTGAAGTGGTGAATGGGATAATGGCAGTTAATAGACATATAATTTCCTTGAGATGTTCGCCAAGACCATTCCAAACATGCTCGGATATTCACAAAACATCTTTGAGGTCTTTGAATATTCAGCAGTGCCAAAGGTCCTCCCCTGTTCTAATGCTGTCTTGAGTGCCAATATTCTGACAAATTGGTGTCCCCCCTACCCCCCTCAGGCCTCTCCCACTCGAGCCAAGGAGAGGGTGGGGAGGAAGGGGACGGGAGGGGAGGAAGGGGACGGGAGGGGAGGAGGGGTGGGGACGAGGGGTAGAGGGAAGGGTAGAAAAAGGCAGCAGGGTAGACGATACTCTGCGACGAGGAAAGGAAGGGGGGGGGGGTATGTCAGGGAAGGGGGAGGGGCTTCATAGGGGGCCGGGAAGGAATGCGAGAAAGAAAGGGAGCAAGAGGAGGGAACAAAAAGTCGAGACGAGGGGGATGAAAGAGTAAAAGATGAGCCTTAAGTTCCGAGAGACCCAGAAAAAAAGAAGAAAGAAATGAGAAAGATGAGAAGAGGAAAAAAATAAGAGATAAGCCATAATCGTAGCGAAGTAATGAGTTGCCTTAAAGAGAGGGAGAGTTATCGAAAGTGAAGACTGAAGTTAGCACGACCCATTATGCACGAATGACCAAGAACTACATATAAAGAACATAAAGATGATTGATACAGCAACGAAACCAAGAGCAAAATAAAAAAAGGACATGGATGTTGGCAATCATCTACGCCATAATCAATATTACTAAAAATAAATAATCGTTCTCATAAAGGTCGTCATAAAAACGCAAAACATCCGGATCGAATCTGCCCGAGCAAAACCCGGCGCGGCTCCCGGTCTCGGTCCGCCAGAACTCAAGTAGTCTACCGTCGGGTCGATTTATCCGGAAAAGTTCTTGTTTCCTGCACACTTCACCTGTCAGACTATTTATTCCAACGGCTCTTTGTCGCCTGGCAACTCGTCTGGCAGATCTATGATTCACCGACGCTTTTGATAAGGATATGTAGACACATTATCAGATAAATACTTGTTGATGAGAACATTTTACATACCAGAGCCATTAAAAAAGTTTTATATCAGACTTTTTGGCGTGTGCGTGCCAGCGACTGGCTCCAGCAGTGTGAGCTTTTGTATAATGATCTGATTCAACAACTAATTCTTAAAAAGACGTGAAAAATCATGTCCAGCCGACGCAGTCTTTCTTGTAACAGGAAGACAACAACACCGAGAATTTCTCTTCCGGAAAATTCAGCCAAAGATACCACATGTAGCGAAGGTTATTTAGCAGGCGTGGTATAACCCCAGACGCCACATTATATCCCCTGATGGCACGCTATACCCCCAGTTATACCCCGCGTGCCACGGACATGTCACTGTCAACCGCGGAAGGGCGAGAGAGGGAGAGGGGGAAGAGAGACACCTTTGTGTGCATTCGTTAGAGAGGATGAGCAGGGCTGTCTATACTTGAATTTCACGCGACTACGATTAATGGTGTGCCTGGCCTTTCGGCTCGACAAAAGGCGCATTCCGCCCCACCTATACACCGGCAACGAAGTACCTCTCTGACTAGTATTGCTTACTGGCACGAGAAAAAAGAGCGGGAGGCCAAATTCGTAGCCATTCTCCAAAGCGCACAATATGAGTCAATCCTACCTCATCACCCATAAAATTAATCACCTGAAAAACGTCGGGTTTGATGCCAACTTGTAAACAGAAGGAGCACAGTGTTCAGCGAGCTCAGCTGACGAGTCGTTACACCGCCGACGGTGCCAAGACGAGGCAGTTCGTGCGTTCGTTTGAGGTCGGGACCGGGGAGGCTGTGCTGCCATCTATTCGCAATTAACGCCAAATGTGGCACATTCAGATCCGCTGTGGCGCATTCTTCTTGCTAGGTTCTGGCGCTTTCGAATCTCTGTTGGTGCATTCTTGTCAGCCAACTCTGGCGCATAACTTTACCAAACTTGATGCTGAATTTTATATCTGTTTAAGTATTTTCCTTCACGTTACGCCACCTGAATAATTTCGGGGGTTGTGAAAGACACTGGTGTGTACATCACTCTAAACAAAGCAAGACTCCATTGCTACTGGCTTCTCTGACGTTAAATGTGGATGAACAAATAATGAGGAATACCAGATGTCTTGGCAAAAGCGCCCGCACACTCTGAAATATCATTGAAAGAACGAGGAAATTCAGGTCTTTGCTGTACCTGTTGATGGGCGAGGCTAATGACAGAATAACACTCTGGCTTCCTCACTCTCCGTAGCGCGACTTTTCTGAGGACTGCACGACTATTTCTGACGCTGTAACTTATTGGTCTATATATATAAACGAGCCGAGTGTCTCCACTAATTCAAGTCTGGCTGAAATCTCATTTGATTTATTGAAACTTGTTCTCGACGATGCTGTCAGATATACGAGCGGGTTAGTTGTATTTTTATAAGACTTGTGTCAAGTCATCATCACGTCTCTTAATTTCTAAGTATAAGAAAAATCTATAAGTAAAAGAGTTTAATAAAAATATAATCAACGGCCAAAACATCGGGTGAGATCTGTGTTTCAATACATGTGTAAAGCTTGGAGCAACTCCTCAACTACTAACTGCCTAAGACTTCGCTAACTCCGGTGGATCTATAACCAATAGCGTAATGGAAAATAATTGTTGCACACGCTTATAATGACAAGGGGAAGGGGGGAGGCAATAAAGTGTCTTCCATCAAAGGAAAATTGCATCGGTTACGTAACATCAGAGGGAAGAACGAAGGTCCGATGGGCTCAAGTATGTCGATATATCGGTTATATTCTGGGAGTCTATCATTCGACAGAGCTCGATATATTGGCTCCTTTTGACTGATATATATGGAGGATAATTCAGAAGAGTTCGACCTCGTGTTGCATGCTCGTTGTTAGCGGGGCAGAGGATGATTGTCATTGTCAGAGGGTATTGTGCAGAGTCACTCGAATCGACGTCCATGTACTGACATTCATATAATAATCTATTATTCTTGATTTATGAGGGTTTGATTTATACGGCGATATTATTCTAATACTCTGAATACTCTGACTTTAGAATTCAGTGTACAATGACACCACATCACGCCAGGCCAGATCTGACGACTGCATGATAGAAAACGAGATGCGTAACTGCAGCATTTGAGCGGCTACGCCAGGGAGACGAAACTGAATACTCACTGTAGATCTCTCTTGGCTTCATCGAGGCTGGAGTCCTGAAGCTTGAGTTCCAGGCGCTGAATGAGTCTGTTCTTCTCCTCCAGCTGTTCTTCCATGGCGTGCATCTGGGCAGCTGTGGCTTCCTTCACGCCGGAGAGAGCGGCTTGGAGGCGGGAGATATCCTCCACGAGCTTGGACACCTGCGGAAGAAGAGAGTAGCTCGTAAATAGGAGAATTTTCACTCATGTAATGGTCGCTCTGCCGCTGCTTTGATCACAGCGGGAAAATCCAAAGGCATTAAGGAAACCGTGCACAAAGAATGACTGCGATTAGAAAGGGCCAATGTCAACACATGTCGGAAAGTATCTCGTGATCATTCATCCACATTATTCCAACCCCTGGCGGTCGAACCCGATATCCTGAATACACAAGTTTTACATCCCCGGCCCATTCTACCCCATAAGCAGGTAAACATCGGAACAGCCTTTGATAAGCACACAAATTCCTCGATTTGTTTACTTCCGCGTCTACGTGCGCCGAGAGAACAGCCTAACCCCTCATTACGAAGTACCTTACAATACACATCCCTTGCTTTATGCGCCTGTTTCTTTACGTCGTGGCAATGAAGCCTAAGAATTATGGCATTTAATCCCCCTCCTGTTACAAACAGCCTAGCGGGAGGTTCAACCCGAGCGTCGCTCCGTCACCGAGACAAAAGACCTGATCTGTGTGATTGTGACAGTTATGGCCTCTGCCAGCCCTACTGAAGCAGTACCGACAGCTTTTAATACGACACTAAGGAGCCTGCGAAACTTCTTGGCTCCTTTTCGGGGTGCGCTCGAGTCCTGTTATTTTAGTTTTCTACGAGCAGCTCTGAAGGGGGATAGGGTGAGCGCTGAACCTATTTCCAATAGGGTTTTCTTCTTTTTGAATAATACTCTTTTAACTGTCTTAAAAAAAGGCGAGTCTCCACACTCAAGTATGTGAGTGTTAGCTGCATATATCGACTCGCATCTCTTTTCTAAACCAGACTTAATAGTACCGCGGGTGATTCATAATTATGAATTTATGATGATCTTCTTATTCAAAGTGATTAATCTGACGTCTTAGGGTTGGCAGGCTAACGGCGTGACTAACAGGTTCCGAGTCCGTAACTCCCCAAAACTGTGTCAATAAAGGATCGACTCGGTGCCAAGAGCGAGTCGTCGTATATATTGATTATGACAAGCATATTAATCTAATGCCCCGCCGATCCGTTCATTAGGCACTGTTTTCTTACTGTTTCTCCTATGATTGTGACCCTTAGTGCAGGCGAACCCGAGGTAAAACAGACATCCATTGCATGTCAGAGGTCAGATCAGGAATGTTGCAGCCTTGAAGACATTAAGTTCTTGCCTGAGATTAAGTGATGTGGCCGGCGACGCTGAAGGGGCTTAGGCCGGCGGAATGCCTCTCAGATGGCAAGGCGGGGGGGGGGGGGGGTAAAACAAGCGAATATAAATCCATACAAACATAGGCACATATAGTCACATAAATACATATATACATGCATGTATACATACAGGCATGTATACATATATACATGTATATAAACAGTACGCGCGCGCGCGTGTGTGTGTGTGTGTGTGTGGATGGATGGATGGATGGATGGATGGATGGATGGATGAATGAATGAATGGATGTATGATGAATGATATATATATGTATATATATATATATATATATATATATATATATATATATATATATATATATATATATATATATATATAAAGAATGAAATGCAAGGTTGTATTTTGAAAAAGGAGATAGGGAAGGGATGCCGATGAAAAGTGTAAGCCCAGGGGGTTGTCAAGACTTTGACGAGAGTTGAAAGACATAACTGAATCGTCTGCTTCCCTTTCTTGCAAGCTTGTTTACTCCCTAGCTCCCAGCGTAAGTGTGAGTCTGACTCCAAAGACCCCACGACAAAAAATGAGAGAAAAAGGAAAGGGCAATCAGTCTCTATCCTTGATCTTGTGTTTCACTTAACCGCAAAATCCTTTCCTCTTTCCTGCTGCCTTCTCTACTCCTTCCCTACTCCCTCGGTATCCCCTCTCTTCCTCTTAGTCTCTCCTCTTCTTCCTCTATTCCCTTCTTCCTCCCTCCCTCCTTCTCCCCCGTCGGTATTCGTCCTATCCGCCTCCCGTCCTTCCTCTGAATCCCTTCTCCCTTCCTCTCTCTCTCCACGTCTTCCTCCCTCGATGTCCCCCTCTCGCCCTCTCCCTATCTTCCCTTCTTCCTCTGCATCCCCCCCCCTTTCCTTTCTTCCCTCGGTAATCCCTTCTCTTCCTCCCCTCTCCCCTTCACCCTCTGTACCTCCTCTTCCTCTCCTTCCTCGGTGTCCTCGTCTTGTCCTCTCCCTCTCTCCCCTTCTTCCTCTGTGTCCTCCTCCCTCCCCCGTCTTCCTCTCCTCCCTCGGTGTCCCCCTCTCGTCCTCTCCCTCGGTGTCCCTCTCTCGCCCTCTCCCTCTCTCTCCCCTTCTTCCTCTGTGTCCCCCTCCCTCCTCCGGCTTCCTCTCCTCCCTCGGCGTCCCCCTCTCGTCCTCTCCCTCGGTGTCCCTCTCTCGCCCTCTCCCTCTCTCTCCCCTTCTTCCTCTGTGTCCCCCTCCCTCCTCCGGCTTCCTCTCCGCCCTCGGTGTCCCCCTCGCCACCGACTTACTCAGCCGTGTCTAACGTTCTGCACCACCAGACGAGCATAATTATAAAAACATACCTGTCAACGCCGGATCTATATGCCACAAAACACGGACGGTCTACAGGGCATTAGTCAGACAAAAAGAAAGTAAAAAAAAAAAAAGAAAAAAAAAGACGGCTGGAACAAACAAGACGTCCTGGTGCTACGATATATATTAATAAGCGTGGCGTGCCGGTCACTCGTAAGCATGTGGTGAAACAAAGGTGGGCCGTGCGCTAATTCAGAAAAAGAAAGAAAGCAAAAGGAATCGTGAATTCAAGTAGAATGCGAAAGAGAGAGAGAGAGAGAGAGAGAGAGAGAGAGAGAGAGAGAGAGAGAGAGAGAGAGAGAGAGAGAGAGAGAGAGAGAGAGAGAGAGAGAGAGAGAGGCAGGCAGCCTACCGAGTCCTTCTCTGTCGTTGCTGGTATGGTCCCCAGGCCAACCGCGTATGAATTTGCCGATGGTTTATTAGCGACTATAGATGGTTCGGCATTTGTTGCGGACCTCGGAGCGGACAGAAACTCGACTCCGGATAAAGGCGACGGCCGCATGCAAGCCCCGTTGCGATGCGCTTTCATGGCGGGCGATCGCTGGCCCGGCGTAAAAGGCTCACGCAGCAACACCTGGATCCAGAGACGCCGAGGGGCGCGCCGCGGGAGTCGTCGAAGGGAGCGACAACAATATCCAGCCCTGACGGCAAAACTTGCCCGAGCATTCAGACGCTATTGCTAAGCTCTCGAACAATAATTCAGTATGTTTAATCTAGGTCCGTTTGAACGTAGCACTTGCTTAATAGGAACGCATTTGGCTCCAATTCCACCAATATGTTACACCAACCTCCCGTGAACGATCGGAATAATTATAAAATCGAATATGCATCACCGTAGAGCGCGCATGGAAGCCAGCCCCGCGTCTGGACGGCGTCGCTATACCGGGGTTGGGAAGATCCACCTCAAAATACTTTATGAGGTCCCAATAGCCCTAAAATAATGCCGTTCCAATTTGCTTGCCAATGTCAACGCGTAACGATATGCCAGAAACGTATTATCTTGTTTCCTTTTATAGTAGGCAATTTCTAGCCTCTCGTGCTACATCATCAAGGTCTATTCCCGAGTGATTACGATTGAGATATTGAAACTTATCATAGCGGGGCATACGGGTAAAAATCGTCGGTCACGCGTGAAGCTAGGAGGTAGAACAATACACGTCTGGGATATTGTTGGTAATGATAGGTATCGTAAGCTAGAGAATATATCTTTATTTATATCATTACCGGATATATGCTTGGCACATGACTTATTCAAGCATGTTAATATGATGCAGCGGATGTGTAAGTCATGTAGGTACTCCGGATCTATTGCTATAAGTCCACCCTATAAAGACCCCGTAAGTACACGCTGCCAAGAGAAAGATTATTTACATATCTCGCGCGAACGGAGGGAACGCTGTGGCGGGGGAAAAAGGAGTGAAAAACGAACGTTTGATGTAATTTTTTTGACCGAGACTCGCAGTATACCATGCAGCGTTTAATCACAGAAAGTATTTACAAAAGCCAATATCCGGTGTATAGAAAGTTGTGCCGTGTGGCTAACGAATCGTGTGAGCTGATAACTGCGGCCGGTGTGACCAATTATGACCGAAAATAGTCGGACGATTAATGTTAAATAATCGGATATGCCAGGCATGAAGATGGCCACGTCACCTGGAATCCAACAAAAGCCAATACGCAACATTTCGCTTCTTATACAAATATTGACGAAATGCGCAAAGAATGGCAGACTGAAAGGTGTAATGATCCACGAATATTGGCCATATAGCTGGGAATAGTAAATGACTTCGTGTGATGACACTATCTGTCCCTGAATATATTGATCACGGGTTGCAGAATAGGACGTTCTGTACGATTTTCTCTCGTCTCAGGTATCGGCTGGTAAGAGAATGGCCCCGATAACCCAGGGGAATAAAGCCCGAATCGACAGCGGAAAGTACAAAATGCAGAAGAGAATTCTTTTCTCACTTCGGCTCTCGACAATCGAAGTATCCATTCAAGAGGAGGTGATCGTGGGGGATCATAAATGAATGAATATCGAAGATCCATCCGTTCCAACTTCGGGAAAATGCAACAGCACGAAACCAATGAAAATTTTATGTGTCAAAAAAAAAGAGAAAGAAAGAAAAAAGGGGCGGTATCTACAGCATTCCGGTCATGTCGGGTGTAATTATGCTTTAAATAGCCCAAACCTGACTAATGCCAAATAACGCTCAAGCAACAAGAACCACCGCCATAAAAGCAAAAAGGTTCGAGCTCGCTGTGAAGAGGATCCTATCGCTCATAAAGGGATTGAGTAGCGACAATCAATGGCCGAAGTCTCCTCGATTATACAGCTCGATGTCAATTAATATTCAATACACTGCTCGCACGCCATGGGTGGAGAGTGCGAGGGAGATGCGCCGGGACTCTTGAATGAGAATGTTTATCGATCTT